AATTAACACTTACAACTAACACGCCGAGGTTGCAAGAAGAGAGAAGGTGGAGAACTCACCTTCCAAGACGTTGCTGGCCGTGTAGGCGGTGAATGTATCCAACTGCCACTGTCACTCCCCTGTCACTTTCTTCGGTTGGGAACGAGGCTGGAGTATAGGGAAACCCGAGAGCCGTCTCCACACTCGGCCCGCGCTGCCGCATGGTCGCCCCACGCCTAAGCATACGTAGACGCCCTACTTGTTCGTACCCTCCCACTTCTGGGGCCGTATGCTATACTTCCCCTCGAGGGGAGATATCCCCTTGTAAACCTCCACTCTCTGCCGTTTTCCCTACTGGTGCCCCTCGTCTCTCTGGCTCTCGCCGCTCTGCATCCATACTCTTCTGGCGCACGCTCTGTGCGAATATAGTACAGCGCAGAGTATAATCAATATTCTCCCCTGTCCCCCAGCACATGTCGTTGGGGGACGTTTCGCGAAAGTGGGGGAGCAAAGATGCAGAGAGGCAGATGCAGAGAGACGAGGGGCATCGATAGAGATAACGGCAGAGAGCGGAGATTTGCTGGGGGATATTTCCCCCTCGAGGGGTAAGTATAGCATACGGCCCCTGGTCTGGCGATGAGTGCGTGATTCGTTGCGGGATCTTGGAAAAAACACAAGCACTTTACCTCAAGGATGCGCGGAGACGGTACTCGGGTTTACTACTCTACAGCCCTGTCCCGTGCACTGTTTAGCAGGAGAAAATGGCACGCTAATACAGCTGGTGACCCGTTAGGCAGCTTTCAGACTTCGCGATGGCAGCACTCCGGTCACAGTTCGACGCAGTAAAAAGCATGCGCATTGATCGCCGAATCGCGCAGGCGAAGCACTGTAGTCGCGAAGTCTGAACGTTGCGTTAGCCTTTTGCAAGAACTAGGATCTTTGGAGCTGCGTGTACAGTTTCTCTTTTATACCGTACAGCAACTTTGCACCCCTCAAAGCCTCATTACGAGGCGCTGGTGATTTTTCAAGAAACTAACCGGGCATAACAAAGTTCTCCTGGCAATCGACTGTGCATGGGAGGCGGAAGTGAGTGTTCCTATGGCCGCTGAACGACATCAACTCCCGATCACATCGCCGTGAGTCATACAATTTCAACTGGAAAAGTACAATGCTAGCAGTTAAACCACATCAGAAAAACTCGTTTTGGTATTGAAACTTGTTTCGTGACTTACCTCTCCTCGGAAATTCTCTATGAGTACACACTGAGGGTACGATAAACGTAGTTGGCGAATCCAACCACTTGAGCGGGAACCTTAAACGTTAATTGTTATGATAACATAGCTGTTAATAACAAAACCAGAAATACACAACTACCGCTATGGATTCTCATGTGCGAATCCTCTGAAACTCTGAAATCTGAAGCCCATTTGTAGGCGATGCCAACATGATGGGAAAAGTGATAATTTGCAGCAATTACTACATACCTCTACAGAGCATGACCACCTTTTCGAGTCTCAGAAAATGAATAGAAAAACAATTGCAAAAGATTTACGACTGCAAGTGACAATGTCGGTTGTAGACCTACATTTATCCTTTGTCTAATGTTGTTCAAAAGGATCAACACAATGATGTTGAGACCGAGTTTCCGTTTACGACTCTACTACTACAAATCGAAAGCAATAGTTCCACTCAAATTCGCCTTGGCTTTAAATGGTTCGAGACTTCGACAATAAAGTAAAAGGCTTACAAGGTGATGAAACAAAGAGGCAATAATGAATGACTCAGTAGGTTTCAAGCAGCTGAAAGGAATAGGAGCCAAGATCCACAATAGACTTTCTGTGAATCTTGGTAGGTTCCCGCGAAGGTGGCTAAACCAAAACGTAAGCCGAATAGATCAATGTTAAAATTGCGTCTGCGATTTCTACGTGTACTACTGATGAGGAGCTGAGCGGATAGACATCTTTTCAAACAGACAGGGACTAAGAGGATCCCAACCAGAGGGCAATGGTAGCCACAATCGACCTGCAGTATTTAGAAATCACTAATCAACATTCCAAAGAGAAATGAACATTCCTAGACACATAGGAAACCCCCGCCCATATCAGATCCGCCATTCACCTTTTTTAATTTGAAGAAAAATAGCAGAATGGCATGATTGAACATACCCTTTCAATGATCCAGTCACGTGATGACTCTTCATTCGAAGATCGGACAAGATGACATCGCTATCTCTTAAGCCCATGTATATCAAATTACCATCCTGGAATTAACTACACATTACTCAGACTATACCACCAGCCTTGGGCAAAAATGTTTACTATGAAAACCAAATCAAACATATCATACTGAAAAAAAGACAAAAAAACCAAGAAGCTTGAAATTTGGCTTAACGTATACAAAGTTGTTCATGAAGTACCGTAACTCTAGACTGAAAGGAGTAAATACAAAAAATCAGTCAAAACTCACAGGAGCGAAATGTTGGCTAATAACATTCCGGCGACGGCTTGATATCGTGAATGATTTCTCAGTGATCACATCAGTAATTTTTGCGCATTCTTCCATACCTTATAACAGAATGACGATAGAAAATAATAATATGATCACTTATATTCTCTATATCCCGGAGAGGCAGATGGCGCAGCAACGTACTTCAGTTGAACGTGCTGTGGCTGCGTTTTAGTGGGATATCGCCATTTGAGACAATTGTAACCATGTCTTCGTCTGGGACAGAAAAGATTTCCCTCGTCTCGAACGAAAATATCCCACAAAAAACAACGCCATCCCTTACGCGCCCTATGTTCATAAACAAGTATGCCGCCCACCTTGCCTTCCATCTTCGGCAGATTATTGACTGTATTTTGTATAACTAACCCAAAGCTATGCGTGTTTTGTTAGAATTCCAGGCACAACTATAAATCGCCGACGACTCAACAGACCACTGAATGTTGTAGATGGGCGAATTTCGAACTTCAAAGTCATCGTCATCCGAACATAGCGCGGACATTGGTTGCAAAACTACATTGCACATCGACGAAATCCCTTGTCCTGTCACTCTAAACATATTTTTTAACACGGTTGGCGATAATGCGTCAAAATGCCGTGATGCAATATTACTAGAAAAGGGCTCCTGAACATATTCCAAGTTCCTAACAGCCACATATGACAAGGGAGACATTGTAGATTCTATGATGATTGCAATCCGCGCAGATGATTCTTTGTGACTATTTTATCAAGGGGCAAACGAAAGTGTTTTTATGAGGTGACAACGTTTATTTTAGGAGATATAAAGTTGGTATTGGCTATTGTGCCGGTGCAACTTCTGACAACAGTACGCCTACATCAAATGCCACTTGTAAGTTCTGCAGCAAGAAATGACCATTTTTAGGCTTTCTTCACGTGAACTAGAAGGGATATTTTTATGAGAATTTCTGACTTATGCTCAAAGTAATCAAAACTAGCGAAGCCCCAACAGCTTCTACATGAAGTTTCAGCTCCCCTAACATTGTTTTGGTGTAGGAGCGCCTCCTAGCATTAGAACACACTCTTCAAAAACAGGAAAAATGGCGCTGCCGCCAATAAGTCAAGATTACTACTGAATAGTGGGATTTCCGAAAACGCGTTCCCAGCTCGAGTTACATAGCGGATTGTGAAAAAAAATCAAGTCAGTCGAAAGAAACTGTATAAATAACCACAACGCGAGAGGGTTGATACATTTGCCATCACTGCCCCATATAACCTCCGAGATCAGGTCCAGTTCCCAATTTTTTTCACATCATGTAGTGATAACTAGAGTACAAAAATCTAGGACACCATAGCCTAAAATCTACAGGTTAACACCCCCCCCCCCGCAGTGTAGAGTTCCTCTTGATAACCCAATCGCGACAATGTTGCAACAACTAACGATGGAACATCCGCAACAAGGTAGCATTTCAGTTTCTGACTGGCTTATGGGTTTGTATTTTGATGTTTTTCGCGGGAGGCGGTGTGCCGTGCCCCGACCCAAGTGGGGCCTAAGTGAACACCTTTGAGAATTTTCTGCCGCAAAACTCTCTCGAATATTACCACGTCCTCCTGTGGTCCAATCACAAATATCATGCGGCCAGGTTCACGCTCATGAAAGAAATAACCGTCACAAAAAAGGCACTGGTCGACTTGACGAGGGGGGGGGGGGGAATGGGAGGGGCTGGACAAGTTGCATTTTCGTTAGCTATTCTAGCTCATGTTGACTAACAGGTTCAACTCGGTAAGACCTGCAAACTTTTGTGAAATTACGAAGTGATACAATTGAACAACTTCACTTGACGAATTCACTAGGGTTCACAAAATTGGCTTGTCCCGAGTTTGCCTGAAACCATTCGGCGTCCCACCTCCGGGCCCAAGTGCGCCAAAAATTTTATCGAAATCAAAAATCACCTAGACTCTGCAGTGACGTAAAGAACACAAGTGACATCAGAATCAACGGGAGCCATTGCCATGTCTACGAGAACTGGCTGAGCTACATCTACAGTCTCACCATCCAATATAAATTGCAACCCTGAAAATTCACGAAAAGCAATAAAAAACAGTGGAAATGAAGGCAGTATCACCTACCCAATGTGTTGCACGAAGTACTCCCGTTACGCAAAATGAGTCCATCCATGTCAGAGGCGGCTTTCCTGAACAAATCAAATTCTTTACATTGCTACAGTAGTTATATGAGTCTAAACGTGGCGTTGAACAAACCTCGCCAACTCATCATTGAAATGCGTGCTCAAGCAAGCAAACTTTGCAGCTTTCCTGCTGTTTCTTGATCCATCTCCAATAGCCCAACAACCGACCACTTTAGAGTCGTCACTATTCCCCACGACTTCCAAGAACTGGCATCCTTTAACATGCTCGCCTGATGAGCCCAGAGGGGTCTAAAAGAACGAATCTAGTGGTGACAGCACTACTACCGACTGTACTCACGACAGTCTCAATAATGTGTGAATTGACTGGATTGTTTCGGATGAAAAA